TGTTTAAAATCTTGTCCTGGAACATATTGGTGATGGGTTTTTGGAGACCTCCAGCATGATAACAAGTTTATCTCACGTGGATTGAATCTATAATCGTGCTGGCGTAAGTGCGGTAAATTCGTAATACCAGCTAGATCTTATCAATAACAACAGCACTATTTTTTTTAGATGTAAAAGTGACTTTGGTAAATTTTGTTATGAAAAATGTTCGCCATACAAATTGCTAAAGATTGAAGCATTTCTTTAATCATTTCTCAATACTATGAATGTATTATTTGCAAAAAATAGGATATGTAGCAGAAGAGTCATTTGTTTTGCAAAAATTATTTCTCAAAACAAACAGCATATTCAAAATCAACATGAAATTCTGAGTAGAATGAGGTATTTGTCTCAATTGGAAAATAAATGTCATTTTCCATCGGTTTTATTTGAATTTATAGGCGATTCAGAGATATCGAAAACCCTTTTTTTTGTGTCGAAATATATATATATCAATCGACCCATAATTCGCTAATGTTTTCGAATATTATGCTGAAATTTGAAGATCATGAATGTTTGCTCAAGAAAAAGGTGTTTTGTAGTAAATGTCAATAGAATAGTTTCAGTTTCCCATCATCAGATAATGTTGCAACGTCATAAAGAAGTATAAAAATCGTAAATCATATTGGCTATAAAATCAAAATCATGTATAGCAGCGGTTTCAAGTCAAGCTTGAGTGTATATTGTAGGCTATTATACGTCTTCATCCACTGCAAAAACGGATTTTACGTTAATATTTTCACAAATTGACCCTATTTCTCATCTCTTTTATAATTTTGAAGTCATATTCGAAAACATTAGCGAACTATGGATCGATTGATATATATATATATTTCGACAGAAAAAAAAGGTTTTCGATATCTCTGAATCGCCTACAGATTCAAATAAAACCGACGGAAAATGAAAGTTGTTTTCCAATTGAGACAAATACCTCATTCTACTCAGAATTTCATGTTGATTTTGAATATGCTGTTTGTTTTGAGAAATAATTTTTGCAAAAAAATGACCCTTCTGCTACATATCCTATTTTTTGCAAATAATACATTCATAGTATTGAGAAATGAGTAAAGAAATGCTTCAATCTTTAGCAATTTGTATGGCGAACATTTTTCATAACAAAATTTACCAAAGTCACTTTTACATCTAAAAAAATTAGTTTTGTTGTTATGGGCAAAAAGTAGCTGATATTACGAATTACCGCACTTACGCCAGCACGATTATAGATTCAATCCACGTGAGATAAACTTGTAATCATGCTGGAGGTTTCCGAAAAACTCATCACCACTAGGTTCCAGGACAAAATTTTAAACAACTAATTTCATAGGGAACAGAAAGACAACATGTCTCTACATAGTTTGTGAGGAAATTTTTTTTAAATATTGTGAAATAGAAAAGTTATATCCATTTGAAAGAAATGAATGTTTTTACTGCGGATTAACCACGTCTGACTCTATCAAAGAAAGAAAACAAAAGCAAGATCACGAATTATCTTAAATGATTCTGTTAGATGAAAACTTTCATTAAACTTTATGGCTTAGTGTTCACATGAATTTTACATTGAGAATAAGTTTTTGTTTCACAGTCAAAAGGAAACGAGTTCAAGCTGTAGAAAACGTGAATGTACTATTAGGAGACAGGCCATACTAACCATTACTGGCCATGGCCACGATACATCCAGACATGCGCGAACCAATGTACAAAACATTACGTACTTGAAACACTTTTTATCTTGTTAGATATTAACATTTGATTCATTGGAGTTTTTGAGATTAGTAAAGCAGTAGTCAAAAATAAGCAAGTTTGTGTAACGAACGCGTTATATAAAACGAAAATGGTAGATCTTTCTGCACAACAATGCTTTCATGTACTTAACATACGAACATATTCAGAAACGTATTTATCTTTTGAGAGAAATGATTATGTATTTCAAAAAATAGCACGAGATTTTTTAGTACAAAGACAACAATAGAAAATGAATAATGATAGTGACGAAATGGAAATTCTAGGTCATAACAAGAAGCATAAATACAATATTGAGAAAAAAAATAGTTCTTTTTTTTATAGAAACCCAGGTCGAGGTTTACGGAGTCTGTAAACGGTCGTGTACGATCCGTTTTTCTCCGTATACGACACGGAGATATACGATCGTAATACGTGACCATGTAAATCGTCGTATTTCTCCGTATACGGTCGTTTACGACCGTGCTTGTTTAACCTCGGAAGACAAAAATGATACATAGACAGTCATAGCGACGAAATGAAAATCCTAGATCATAACAATAAGCATTAATAGAATATTGAAGAGCAAATCATTTTTTAGTTTCTTTTTCGTTTCTGTGTAGTTTCTTCTCAATTATCTAAAAAGAAAATATTTTTGAATGACTATTGTTTCAATACGAAAACATACCTCCAATAAGCTGCGAAACATTATTTGCATTTAATCTTTGCAAGAATTCTAATCGACCATTAATTTTCTCTAAAAATGCAATCCTTTTATCTGGCAGAAAAATGAGCATTATATTACCTTTTGTGGTAATTGATTGTTTTATTTCTTGACGAACATTGTGCAAATCAAGCTGAATGGATGCTTTCCTAGTTTGAAAAAAAAGTATATTGAATCGTACTATCTCATACAAATTATAATAAAAAACGGTATACCATTTCAAAATTTCAAATTTCTCATCAATATCTGTATTGCGTTCCAGATGTTCTATATCATTAATACAATCTAAAGGAATAGATTACATATGGCTGACCCATCGCAAATATGCCAACTTACTTTGATACTGTTGCACATCATAGTAAACTTGTGCTCTCTCGCGAAAATATTGCAATGCATCATCTTGTGGTGTTTTAGTTTGTATAATTTTGTTTAACAACTAAAAAATAAGAGAATTCTTTGATGACTTTAAATTTAAAGTCTTACTTGTAACTTGTCATTGTTTGTACTTTGTACATTTCCAAAAACTAACAAATATTGTTTGTTAACATCCATGTGAATAGATGAACGAGGTGGTTGATAGTATCTGTAAGATATGAAAGAATGTTACTGTGTTGTATTCATTGTTATCATCTATGTGCATATATATATATATATGTATATGTATATTGGTAGAGAGAAACAATCAACGAAACAAAGTACATTATGACCAATTAGACTATCCGTAATAGAAAAATATGATGCGTAAGTGGTGACAATACAGTTGGAATAAAATAAGCTACATTGTTTAACCAATCAGCTTCCACTATATAGTGAACCATTATTATGTCCAGCTTTCATCGATAATAAGAATATACCAGTCACGCACGACACGAGTCAAAAATAACTCGTTTGCAAATAAATCAAATTAATGAAAAATGAAATTAATACAACGTCCTAATAACTATTTGATATATACTTAAAATATAACAACCAGAAAATTCATCTTATAAAAAAATGGATTGATGCACTCGATAGAATATTTTCTTGTATACTTCTTTTTTTCGTAAATTTGCAGTTAGTACTACTTCAATCTGTATTCTAATAAGAGTCAGCATAATTTTATAAAATGGAAGAAAACATATTCCAATCGCACACTACAAAAACAAGATATTTCATCGAACATGTTCTGGGTGTGGATGTGGATATTTTTTCACATACGTACAGACACTCCGACTCTCACGCACCCTCTCAGTCAAGGACCAAGTGAATCAGCATCCGATAAACGTTATTTGTCTATCTGTAACATTAATATTCCAACAAAAAATATGATTGAATAAGTTAGAGTAGACTCTTCAGCAAAGGAGAAAAGCATAAGAAATCTCATTTTTGCTTGAACTTGTTCCAAAGTTGTCACCCAGTTAATGTGAATGATTTTCGTCGGACCTGATGGTGCTCATATTAACGAGATTTTACTGTAGATAAAAACCAAGCAAATGATACAATTAGAATACTAATTAGTGCGTGATGAAAGGTATTCGAGCAGGATTATTCAATTTTTTTCAATTTTAATTGATCAAAGCGATGGTGCACATACGAACATATCTAACAACGACAGAGATTTCAAATAAATGTACAGACTAGAGTGCCATGTGGGAGGGAACAATCCCATCTCATTCCATTAATCACATGGGACACAACTCTTTGAAAAATGTCCCATCCCAAAGAACAAAAAGATTTTATATAAAACTATTGGTTTGCTAAGAACAATACAAAAGTTTTGATATATAAATGTAGTCCGCGTTTATTCAAGCAAAATAGATGAGAAATAGAGCGCTTTAGATAAAATAATATAAGATTTGATAGTATAAGTCGATCAATAAACGTTCGAATGAATTTGACCTCTTTTAAAAAGTATTTGACTATTGCAAGGACCATTAGATGGTACGAAAATTTTTCGTATAGCTGTTCGATCCCACAGAAGACTTTTTTGTCCCGTTCCATCCTACGTGAATCTCTATTTGATTACCATTAACACTTATGAGAAAAATAATTTCTTCCTTCCCTTCTTTGTCAAAGAAGGTATCAAAAATTCTCATTTTATGTCGCGATCATTTCATGATCAAATCGATAGCATCCGTTTTCTGATCTTTGATATGAAATTTCATGTTCTCAAAGTAAGCTAAGCCGTAAGTCATCTCAAAAGGTAAGATTTTGTGAACTTCGTTGTTTTTTCAAGCTTCGAGATTATTAAAACAAAGACAGCAATCAAAGTTAACCGCCGCTCCATTTGTTTACAGCTAATACAGCTGATGATAGATAATGAATGAGAAAGAGAGTCAAATCATCAATCGACAGCATGCCTTGAGAAACGTTTTGACAGAGTTCTCCTAATGTTGAATTTTACTATCGCTTGCTTAAACTTTCATCGTGGCTTTGATCAACTGATTGATGGCAACGTAATTTTTTCAATTTATAAAATGAACAAGAAATGTCTGATTTTAGTAAGACGTAAACATCTTTCGGGAAAACGAGATTCGCGATGAATCCTGAAAACGATTATTCCTTTCTTTTTAGGTATATCATTTTTTTCGAAAATCGAGATTTGATCTTTGCACTGCGTTTCCTATTCTAGTCAAACTCGAATACCATCTGGTTTTGCTTCAGTAATATTTTTGACAGATGAAAATATTACAATATTAATTGCTGATGCAAAAAACGGTAAGAAAATTGTGTTTTGTTTCTTTACATAGACTTATTGCAACTAATAGTTTGTCTTTCTTTCAAAAATATAATTAGATTAAAGAGTTTACAACTCAGTATTTTGGTCTCGATTCTTTATTTTTGTGCTGAAAAATTCATCAGAATTTGGTCTGATCTACAAGATGTTATTAATCAAAGAAGAATTCGCTAGGTAGAATTTTGACTGGCAAGATAAGCATAATCTCTATTATCTATGTAGAGAAAGAGAGAGCAACTAAGATTCAATAAATCTAAATTTTTTTATTTTAGAAAATGGTGATCTTTCGACATCTATTTTATTAGGCATCATCGTCAGACTGGCTGAAAATAGGTTCGATTTTTTTAAATATAAATTCTTTCTTTTTTATCATTTGTTTTATTGTTTTAATGGACATACAGCCATTACTATCAATAACAGGAAATGGTTATATGATGACACTTGACAAAATAAGTATTGAACTATCACAAGTTTCTTCAATAAAAAGAAAATTTACGTTCATTTAATTTTAGCTACACTCTCTTTCTCTATCTGGACAAAATCATTCGTTCGCGACGTGTCTTCGCAAAAATTTCATTATGTATATCTCGAGATAATGAGCTTTTTTAGAACTAATTTTTATATATTGCATATATGTTAAGTTAATCTAGATATCCTGAAAAATCAGCGCTAGGGATCTTTGTTCAAAGAAGTTGTCAGTAAAAACCAAGTGTTAGCGATGTGACGCAAAAAATGACATCGACTTTCACTTCATGTATTTTACTTTTGAAAAACTCGGAATTTATGCAAAATTTTAGAAAACTAAATAGTGCATTCTGTAGACGACTCCTGAGGCTACCTAATCTCTAAACAAAAATTTTTCTCAGCATGTTGAGATCTTTGAAAAAAAATCGATTTACTTTTCGTTAGCGACGTCACAGAGTACTAATATATAACCGAAAAAGTACGCTTGCAATCGAATGAAAAGTTCGGAATCGATTCCAAAGGGCACAAATCCTTGCTCAGAGTGTCTAGATGATGGTAAAAGAAAAAAATTTATTTCAGAAATTGACAGAATCTTGAGAAAGCCGTTTCTTCGGAAAAAACGTTTTGAAGTTCGATAGTACTGAAAATTTCACCATAGCTGCAGCTCGCATTGTAGAGTATATCCAGAAATTTTCAGATTTTTTCTCGTATGGTTACAGAGATATTCGCTAATTACTGTTTAATTAATGAATTATCTAACTAATTAATTTTAATTAATAGCTAGGTTAAAGTGCCAACGTTTCCACATAGGTCAGTGTTAAAAGAACTTATTAAGAAAAGTAACACATGTAGAGAATTACAGTCAAATGAAAGGACTGTATGTTCCGTTTTCCGTGACTTTGCCCATATTTATAATAGAATATTTGACCAACAAAAAAACTCATGTTTCTTATATGAAGAAATCTCTAATCTGTAAAAAATCTTGCATTTTATTCTTATGTTGAGTATCAATCAGTTTTAATGTCGTTTTCACTGCTATTTTATTGTTAAAGATTTTCTAGAAATGGCAATCATTAAAAAAGGAACAGAATGATAATACTAGTGATATAGCCTATCTGAGTGTTCCTCCTGTCAAAATCCTGGTTACACCACAAGAGAATATAATAAAAAACACTGAATCATCAACATAAGTAAAAAAGAAGCTCTTAGCGCAATCCCTGCAGGATCAAAATGCAAAATAGGACGTATCTGTTGTTGCCAATCACAACGAGATTGTTCTATTCTATCTATTTTGGGACACATGTCTGCATGATCGTTTCATTTAATTCGCTAGAATCGCAATAAAGAAGCAGTTCATTTATTATAACCAGATGCTATAGAGATACGGCGTTTAATCGTATATCAACAACGTCTATTGGGAAAACTACGCTATATAGACACATAAGAAACAAATGGTGGCTAACTATCTTTCAATTCTGTTGAGAACATTTTTATCATTCTATTATCGATTTAACTGAATTTTAAGACGAAAAAGAATTCTTTGTAATTATACATCAAGAAAAAAAGAAGAATATTTCTATTTTTATATATATATATTTTACTATTTAATTATCTTTCTTTCTATCATCATTCTCAACACTTCTATATCATTTCTATCGCCATAGGAATAAAGTGTATTTGAAAACTTAGCAAATTCCGTATACTTTTATCTTTCTCTATCCACAAGAGATTTATAGACCAACTTGTATTATTCTCATAGTTATTTGCATGCACATGAAGAATATATGTTTTTTGTGCGATGCAATTTCCTACGATTAAAGACATATTTATGTCAACATTTAATGCTACTAGATATGACATACAGGTTTAAGATAGTCTTTCATGACACGTATCTCAAAAATACGAGCAGTTAAAACGTGAAATACAATATTATTTTTCATAGACAAAAAATGCGACTATCAAGTCAAACAGAAAAATTAAGAGTGAGTTTGATTGACCAAACTATGTACGTATTTTAATAGCTAATGCGTTTACATGGATGATTGCATCAGACCGTACCCACGCAAAAATCGTTTGAACATGTTTAATTTTATGAGCTACGACGCGTTTATTTGTCATGCATCTGAATGTTTTTTTTTTGAGTTATTTTGCTGAAAGCACGAACTTTTCCAAACGCACTTGAACGAATTTTTTTCAACGCGTTTTTCTACTGAGAAACGTTTTTTTAATGCGTTTGTCATAGAGAAAATGATTAATTTCACAAAAAAGTTGAAAGAATATTTAGATTCGTATTTTGAATCAAAACGTTGTTATATGACGTAAGAGTCTAGTACTATCCAGGGAAACATTTTGCGGGATCACAATCGGCAATAAATCGCTGAAATACGTCAATCTTAGTGATACATTTTTTGACTATAGCACATCAGAATGTATTTCAGTATTACGAAAGTAAGAAATAGTTATGTAACAAAACGTACAATCGCAGATGAATCCAACTAAGTTTTTTTTTTGTTTAAAATGATTCCTTAAGGAAGTTGAAAGAGCTATCGATAAGATGATATCACGAAATAACAACTCTGTTAAATTATTCCCGTGCATTCATTAGTTATAAGATGTTCTTTTAAAGTTGTTGACAAAGTTTCTAGCGATCCATTTTTAGAGCATTATTTTTATGAAATTTCCAAGGTTTTTCTTCAGATTATGCACATCCTATAAATACAATGGCTAGCATCGCAATGTACATGTAATCTGGAGAAATTCCATCTCGAATTCATTTTGAGAAGTTATACTTCAAAAAAATACTGTATTTTGTTTATCGACTACACATTTTTCTACTCGAATTTTAGCCCAGCTTTTTTCCCTCGTTACTGATTTTCTCTATAGACCATTAAGAATTGTTAGTTGCTTTGTTTCCAATAAAAGCTCGAATATGCATATAAACAACATTCGACAAATAATGCACTTTGAAACACAATTCTTCATTCTCTTCAAACATAGTTTCTGAGTAATATCGATAGCAGTCATAATCTCCCATTCTTATTATCTTCTTTTTCGTCTCTCTGTATTTTTTCCTATATTGTGTTCCTTTAAAAGTCAATAGATGTACTTTAAAAATCTTTATCTATTTCTCTTTTTCTTCCACGTCTTTTATCTCTAATTGAGCAACTAACAGTGTTACAATGAAATTCAGCTGAAAAAACAAAAACATAGATAGCACTTCCATTCGATAAATTCTTTTTTAAAATCTTTGCTTACTTTTTTCTTTTTATAAATTTAAAAACTCTTTTGAATGTATCTACTAGCTCCTTTAAAATTTCTAAAATAATTTGATACATGACGCAAATAGTGATAAACAATATGTACGCGCGCTTCTGAGAAATATCGAGTTTTACCCAAAATCTTTACATTCATCAATAGAAAACAGCAAGAATTAATAGAAAATTTATCCAATGAAGGTGTCGCATATGTCAATGTGCATTTGTTACTAGAAATATTCAGACTATACTCAAGGACTCAAAAAGTTTTTAAAAATTTCATGACTTGTGAAATTAACACAGAAACTGACGTATTTCAATTTCATTAATGAAAATGAATATTTTTGTTAATAAAATTGAAATGGATCAGTTTTTATTGCCGTTTTATGATTTGAAATGTCATGTTTTCCAAGTTTTTGATATAAAAGGCATGGCATTTCTTTCTGATTTTGTAAGTCCTTGGGCGTAGCACTAGTAGAAACCTAAGGAGTTGAAGCGAAATGATAAGATAATATACCTGAGTGTCTTCTTCAGAATCATCTTCAAAATATCTAATTAGATAAGATCAAATTTCCATTTTTTTTCTCTTCAAAAGCCTTTTGCTATCCGTGTGTCCATATTACTTATTTTATCACATTTACATCATTTATTTGCACATTTCTCAATAACTTTTTTATCAATCATTATAAAGAGTTTAAGAATAGTATATCGTAACCAGTACAGTAAAAGTTGAAGTATCGGTGCTATATTCAAGTGCGTTAGTACAGTCTAACAAAATGCTTCAGTATCAAATAGAAAGAGCCCTTGACTATGTCAACTATATTTCGACTCTTGCTGTACTGATTACAATATACTGTTCAGAAAATCTTTATAATTGCTAAAAAAGAAGTAACTGAGAAACGTGCAATTAAGTGATGTAAGTGTGATAAAATAAGTAATATGGATACACGGATAGAAAAAGGCTTTTCAAGGAAAAAAACCTCCGTTTTATAATAAAAAAATGCATCGAAAAGAATGCGTTCTAACGCGTTTTAAAAACTGCGTTTAAAGTCTAGCGAAAACATGCGATCTGAAAAAAGAACGCGTTCCAACGCAGTTTTTGAAAAGTTTTTTTTTCTTGGGTAGTATATGATCATATATTATATAAATGTGTATGTATCTATTAAACTATCTTTCTTTTTCTATTAACGTTTGTAGAAGCATTCAATAGACGTCAATCAAAAAGGTGCATTAATATGTGCAAGAAAAATGTCTGACCAGCCTGATCAAAATAAAGGTATGCATTTTTATCTGCTATGCAAAACAATTGAAAACATTCTGCTTTTTAAAACCAAAATTTTGTATCAATCATATTTCTAATAAGAATTGTCATATGCGATCGTTTTAGCATAATTAATTCTTAAAATAAGTTTTTTTCTATTTCTACTCTTATAGTCTGAGGTATTTCTAAAAATGTTTTCCGATAAAAGAAATTTTCTCCGTAGAAACTCATCTTCTCCTTCCTTTTTTTGTATTGTACTGGAATTCGTACCCTAAACAACATATCAACAGAAAAAATGAAAAGAAAAGGAAAAAAGAAGACGAGTAGGATGTGATAACATCGATTTAATAGTGAATGTGACATGTACTCAATACACTTAGTAGCAATACTGGAAGAAAAAGGCTAAAAACATTGAGAATAATAATGATTTTATAATCTACTACATGCATCCGTTGAAGATTTGAGCAAAGATTACCTAACACCATGCAAGTGTAATATTCGTGCCAATACATGATCATGGATACAAGAAGTACAATTTTCATCTTTGGTTGATGGATATGCTATATTTTGTTCGTCATTTGAGGAAAAACAACTTCACTGGTGTCAATCATCGCTTTCTCCACACATATTTATTATCGCCCAATTAATAGTAAACAAACAGAAGGGTCTATAGCTAAATTCATTAGAAAAATTTTCATAATATTAATGATAAAGTTATCTTATTCTATGATGATACCAATGATACTCGTGGTCGATGAAGAATGCCCTTTAAATATCGCATTCTTTGATTTTCTAAAAAATTAATTTTATCAGTTGTATCTCATTTTGACTATTCATCAGTTTAAAAATAGTAAATATTACATTTAGATCGTGTCACAACTCCAATATCATTTCTTAGTGTACAAGAATTACCCTATGAAGAACTTGATTACAATTTTCTAGTTGATCTTCTAGAAAAACTTCAAAATGGTGTAATCCGAAAACCAGATCATTTTAATAATCTTCATTTTCTTCTTCTTTTATTATATGATTCACATGGGAATCAACGTGATCGATTTCCATTATGGAGTTGGTATCATCGAATAAAAAAAAGATTTCTTACAGCTAAACATTTAACAATTGACACTGAGAATTCTCGTCAGCATATTTTAACTGCACTTGAACAAGTCATTGATACCAATTCGACAATATTAAAATTACTTCAAGAAGGTGTTCAGTTAGAAGAAAAATATCTTCATTCAACAATACATGGTCTATTTAAATTTTATACACCTATACATATATATGTTTACATGGAACAAGTAGATAAACCAATAATAAATGAAAATATAAAACTATTTCATTTATTTCAATCATCTTTTATGAAATTATATCAAAGCTCATGTTGTGATTTAATACATTTTTCAATCGCACATAAAAAAACGAATTTATTGAAAACAATTTTTAGTGAAAATTTTAATTGGTTAGATTCATCAATGAATTTAGCAACCGAACGTGGATGGTTACCACTGCATTATGCATCTTATGTGGGAGATAAAGATACTGTTAAAGCAATATGTGATACATTAACATCACCAACATTATCAATTCGTTTTGACACACTATCATTATTAATACCAAATTTTAAACAAGAATTATTTGATTACAATCCAAATGAATATATACTTAAAACATGTGGTGTTGAACATAGTACATATACAACAAAACAACGTAAAGCATCTCGTTTACAATCAGTATCAACTGATAATCATGAAAATTTATTAATCGAGCAACGTTTTCAAAAAAAATCACCATCAAATATTGATACAAGAGATCAACCGTCATTATTAGTAAATATTCTTAATAATAGTTATATGAATATTACAAATGATAATGACATACCAGATGCCGATGAACTTGAATTAAGTTCATTGCCTTTAATCCAACGTGATGAATTTATTGATAAAGTTTTACATATGTACGATACAAAACAAATGCTTATCCCATCGCCTCTTATTCTTGCATGTCTTGCAGCTTGTGGCGAAAAAAATAATTATGAAGATATTGTTAAAATATTACTTGAATCACATCTTTTTGAATTCGACGGTCTTAATCATGAATCTATTCTCAATCATGTTCTGAATTATATGCATAGAAAAGATTATGCTCACTTTCAATGCGTACAAGTTTATCTTGATACTGAAATTGAAGGACCATCAGCATATATATTTTATCAATTTGATGGTTTTATTGTTAATCAAGATATAAAACCAGTTTCTGGTGCATTATCAAGTTCATCAATAACATTAAATACATCGAAAAACGATGAAACAGCTGCATGGGATGATGATCATCAACTTGTAACACCAATAAATGTTCGTTGTCTATTAACAGTTTTAGTTCTTCGTGATATATTTATTCAATATCCACGTTGGGATTTTCATTTATTACGTGAAAATATTGATGAAAATTTTTCGGATTTAGAAAATGCACTTGGTTGTCGACCAACAATACTTTATCCAGATGGTGAGATAATATCATCACGTAAATGTAGTGATGTAACATGGGAGGTTATTGTTAAATATCGTTTAAGTTCAGAAACAGGTGAAACATTATATATGCAAGTTGATTATTATTTTTTTGAATCATTTGGTGATCCACTTGCTGATGCTTTAGTTAATGTTTATCAAACACCATTTTATATATCATGTATGAGTGATTCAACAATAATGATGAGTACAATATTTGATTCATTTTTTAAACGTCGTAATCTTCATCGTTGGGGTACAATTATTGAAAAACATTTAGAAAATTGTTTTGGTAAGTTAGAAAATTCTATTTAATTAAAGAAGGATTTTTTTATTTAGATGGCATTTTACAAATAAAAAATAATTGTACAACATTTTCATCGTTATGTGCGACATTAAGTCATTATTATCAATTGGATGGTGATCCATTTCTCGAAGAAAATTCAGCAACAATCCAACGAATATTTGTTCACGCATTTGCTTGTTGTGTACGCCGTAATGCAAAAATAGGACTTGACTATTTAATAAAAAATCATTCTTTAATTTACTATGATTCATGTCGAACAAAACCAAGTGATATTCGACATAATATATTGACTTATTGTGTTGTAAGGAATTTATCTGTTGTATTGGATCAATTAATAACAAATATGAAAGCATCAATGTATAAAACATATCAAAATTCAACGAATCCTGATTGGCAACCACATGTTGCATGGAAAGAAATCATTCATGTTATTATTGATCCTGTTTTACAACAACAAAATGATTTAACACAATTAGCTTGTTATGGTGATACAAATACAAATTCATCATTAATTGGCAGTATACCTGTACTTCATGCAACAGGTGAAGAATATATCCAATGTATTAATTCAAGAAAAAATATTATATTAAAAGCCAAACGAAAATTACCACGAGCTTCAAGTGATTTAGAAAAAATTCGACCAATAATATGTCACGTGAGTAGTTTTGATCGACAACAAATGATAAAAATGGAATTTATAGTATGGGTACGAATAGTTATAGTTCAGGATTAGAAGATAATGGAGGTATAAGTGAAAATTTAATGAAAAAATCAAGAAATATTTTTAAAATGTTCATCGATTGCGTTGGGATGGTAAAAATGAATGACATAGTACAGCCGGAATGCCAACACAAAAACAACATACTAAAATACGTACTAGTTTACCAGCAGTCACATCTAAAGTTGATGATCTATCAAGACCTACAGATACTATGAATCTAGTGCGTAGTAGAATATATTCAAATCATATAATTAACTCTGTATGTATAGCTACTAATCATTCTTTTCCTTTACGATTTTTTCTTAAAATAGTATTTTATTTCTGATATGACATTGAAAGTGTGCGAAAGAAAACATATTTGATTTCATAGATTTGTCAAGAGAAATACAAATTCTTTAGGATGATTAATAATTCTTGTACTGATTTATTCCTATGATTAGTTCAAATATTTACTTTTATGTCTTGTTCAATGTGATATACAAATTCACATGTAATGATCTTGTATTAAAGAAGAATTCATTCTAGGATGAACGTATATTAATGCATTCTTAGATTAAAAAAGACATGTAAGTTAAATTAAACTAAAATAGATTTAATAGTTACTAATAAGGATACTTAGGGCTGACCAAAAGTTCTAAGCTCTGTGTTTGAAGAACCTTGTCGGATAAGGTAACCTATTCAGGAATGAGAAACCAAGTATACCATATTGTAGAGCATTTTCAGGCGCATGGAATGGTACATAATAAATCCTGTTTTCATAAAACTTTGAAGGAATTCGAGCGAATTTACGGATGGACGACTACACCCCTACAATCACATTCACCGATAGCCACACTGACGAGATGATCGAAGATGCTACGTATATAAGGTTTTAACCGGTCAAAAACTCTACAAAATCATATGTAAGAAAAAATATTTTACAAATACTTTCGACTAATATCGAAGACCACAATACTCAGTATCATATCATGCTTAGCTGTCGGTATCGACGTGAGCGTGTAGTCGCCTACCAGTAAATTGACTCTAGCTCCTTCAAAGTTTTATGAAAACAGGATTTACTCTATACCATTCGATGCGTCTAAAAATGCTCTACAATATGGTATACTTGGTTTCTCATTCCTGAATAGGTTACCTTATCCGACAAGGTCCTTCAAACACAGGGCTTAGAACTTTTGGTTAGCCCTAAGTAATAGAAAAAATTAGTTTAATTTTATTTAATGCATATTACATTTAGCTTTTTTTTATTACAAGATGAGTAAGATTAAGGCTTATTAACTACATATTAATTTGCAATCTCTTTAATAGACTGATATTACTGATGATGATGCAAGTTCTGAAAAATCCGACGTTGTTTGTCCGACAACACTTATTATAACTCATCCAACTAGACTTCAACGTCGTCAAACAATTGATACTGTTCAAGGTCGACAATATTTATCACGTCAAAGAGCTTTACAACATTTGCGAGCAATGTTTCGACCGATTCGACGAAGACTAAAAACTTCTATTGATAATGGACATGAACAAATGCCAATGGTTTCTGAAAAACGGGCAATGCATCTACGATGAACATCAAGTTTTAATGATAATAATCAAGAAACGCAAAATGAAAAATATTAATGAACGACGATCGGATACAGTTGCTTTTGTATAATGCATTGTTTTTGTAAATAATAATTTGCCCTTATGAATGATGATAAATAAAAACAAGGTCCAAAAGTGTAGAACTTATTTCGTATTATCATTACGAGCTTAAAAAGAAAGAACGATAAGCAATAACGTCATTATCATTTATTATTGGTATACAGATCTCACGCTATCTTCCATCAACCTAGCAATAATGGTCCTTTGCGACACAAAAAAAAAAGAGTCTATTAGTTCTATATAGGTTATTTTTCATCTAGTACGAAGTCTGCATAAGTGTTTGTTTGTATAAATATAGAATTTCACATATAAGCAATGGCTATCCCAATCATTCATAGAGACGATAAGGTGAGCAGGAATTGAATTTTTTTCAGAATTCTTTTTTAAAGAAACTAACATCGACAAGGGAATACTTAACTAAGACAGAAAAAAAATATACTTCTTTCTTAGTAATGGCATTTAATTACTTCTGTGCTTTTCCTTATCGAAAAGCATCCAGAGTTCAATGCGTATAATTATGTTTTGATTCTGCAATCAATTTCTTTCCCTCGCTGTAGTTTTGCTTTATCAAGAAGTCATTAAGTTCCTCTAGAATAAACAATTCGAAAGCAAAATAGCGAATGATTATAATAGGTTTTTCTTAGTAAAACATGACGCAAATATTTCTATAACTCTGTTTATATCCAGGCAGACAAGAATTTCTGAAAACGTGTTTAAGCGTCTTGATCGCGATTCGTGTTGGACCGTTTTCCCGTCTTTTAAAAAATCCAGCTACGTTCGTCATAAACAATTACACGAAGACGCTTAACAAAGCAACTTTTCTAATTGGAAAACGTTGAAAAAGTTTTCTCACACTTTGTTTTGACACAAAACACACATAGAAACAGTCATTTTTATCTGCAACGCACGTCAAGCGATTACGGGAAAAATCTTTGCACTTTGTCCGGGTGCAAAAGTTGCATTTTTGTAAAGCGTCTTCACGCATCTTGTAAAACACGACCTAAAAGCAGTGTTGAAGTATATAGGGTAGAAATTGGCACCCCCCCCCCCCCCCCCCCCCCCCCCCCCCCCCGGGGGG